TAGCAGGTGATCCTTGAATATCAACCAGCAGCCTTAGGCCCCCCTGCCCTCTAGGGCTATATCCCATGGAACCTTACTAAGCAGGTTCCTGAAGAGGCCAAAGTCTGCTCTTCTGAAGTCCAGGGCAGTGAGCTTGCTGCACCCTCTTCTCACTGTCCTGAGGATCTCAAATTCGACCATCTCATGATCTCTGCATTCAAGGCTGCCCTGGAGCATCACATTTCCAACGAGCCCTTCCCTGTTGGTGAGCACGAGGTCAAGCATGGCACCTCTCCTTGTCGGCTCCTCTATTACTTGCAGAAGGAAGTTGTCTTCCACACAATCGAGGAACCTCCTGGATTGCTTCTGCCGGGCTGTACCGTCCTTCCAACAGATGTCAGGGTGGTTGAAGTCACCCATGAGAACAAGGGCCTGTGAGCATGAGGCTTTTCCTATCTCTCTGTGGAGTGCCTCATCCATAGGTTCTTCTTGATCAGGCGGTCTGTAACAGATCCCCACAGTAGTGTCTCCTGTAGGTATATTCCCTTTAACCCTGACCCACAAACTCTCTGTGGACTGCTCACCTGTCCCCAGACAGAGTTCCATACTCTCCAGCCTATCCCTAACATAAAGGGCAACTCCCCCTCCCCGCCTGCCAGGCCTGTCTTTTCTAAAAAGCCTGTAACCTTCTATTCCAACACTCCAGTCATAGGAGCCATCCCACCATGTTTCTGTGATGCCTGTTATATCATACCCCCGTAGACGTGCACACATCTCTAATTCCTCTTGTTTGTTCCCCATGCTATGGGCATTTGTATAGAGGCATCTGAGCCGAGCTCCAAATGAAACCGGCTCATTGGCTGGAGTGGCTGGGATATCTCTACATTGCTCCGAGCATTTATTATAGGTGCTGGCAACTGACTGGGTGTGTTGGGATGGAATTATGCCCCCCTCCCCCAGCACAACTAGTTTAAAGCCTCCTTGACCAGTCTCCTCCCTGGCAAGACTCCTACCAAAACTGCTCTTTCCCTGCTTTATCAGTTCCACCAGCCCCTGCTAGACCTGGCCTACAAAGTTGGGTCCCATGTTCAAGACACCCAAATCCCTGACTATGACACCACCCTTTTAACCATTTATTAACCTGGCCAATCCTCCTAGATTGTTTTAGGTCCTCCCCTGTATCCTGGAGAATTGACGAAAAGACTATCTGAGCTCCAGAGCCCCTAACCACCTCCCCCAGGGCTCTGTAGTCCTTCTTTATGTTCCCCAGGTTGCTACTATCTATATCCCTAGCATCCGCATGTATCACCAGAAGTGGGTGATAGTCCGTGGGACTTACTAGAGCAGGCAGCCTCTCTGCAACATCCCTGATCCGTGCCCCTGCTAGGCAACACACCTCCCTTGAGACCAGGTCTGGCCGGCAGATGAGTGCTTCTGTCCCTTTCACAGTGGAGTCCCCTACTACTACGACCCGCCGATTTTTCCTGGCAGCACCAGTAGAGATCTTTAGCAGTGCATCAGCCGGCTGTTTCTGGTGCGAGTGCATTTCCTCATTAGCCCCCTGCAGGACAGCAAAGTGGTTCTGCGTGGGGACAACAGATTTAGGAGGAAGCCCCTTGCTTTTAATTGTCCTTTTCCTCCTTTTTTTTTTTTTTGTTTGTTTGTTTTTTGTTGTTTTCTTTTTGTTTGTTTGTTTTGTTTTTTTTTTTTGTCACTAATTCCCAGCTTCCCAGGTTAACAGCCTCCTTCTTTCCTTCATGAGCTAGAGGTGAAGCTCAAGGCCCCTGCACAGTTTGGGCCGGGAGCAAGCATTTCTGTTTCCTCTCAGCTCCCCTGACATCTCGCAGTCTATTGACAGCATCCCGCAGCTCAGCCACCTGCTGCAGGAGGCCCTCCACCAGGGAGCACGGCGTGCAGCCCTGCCCATTGTGCACCTTTCCCTCACAAGCCCAGTGCAGGCACTCTTTACACTCCCAGCTCTGCACTGCAGCCTCCCCTCTCGTCCCCTCTGTCTGGGTGCCTACACTGGCCACCTCCGGGGCGGCCAGAGCGGAGCTCCCGGACCGGGCCCTGATCATACGGCGAGTGCTCACCATCCCGCCCGCCTGCCCGCACAAACTGCCTCACCACACTCCTCATGGCTCGCGCTCCCTGGCGCAGGTTTTTACCCACTCAGGGCTGGTGCCGCCTCTCCTGGCTCCGCCCCCTGTGAGTCAGCTGCTCGCTCTCGTCAGCTGAGCTGCCGGCTCCTGGGCAGGTCCTGTCGAGGACTTGAGGCTCCCTCGGTGGCTCTTGTCGCTATGAGTTGAGGCTCCTGGAAGCTGATTTCCCCCGCCCCCCACCTCCGGTGTTGAAGGCGTCCTCTCTCGAGCTGCTTACCTCAGCAATTCTGGAAATACTGCTGAAATTTTATAATCAACAGTAGGGTGTGGGCTCCAAACCTTCATATTTCTAGAGGCAACAAATGGCCACGTTGCTTTTAAATATTCAAGAATGTGTAATTTGGTACAGAGTGGCCTAGCTCATCAGTGTCAGTTAGATCATTGTAGACTAATAGTGCCTAAAATAATACATTAACATGAAAAACAGCGAAAAAAATATTTCTTCTATACATCAACCAGCTAAACAGCTTCCAAAGATCTTTACAGACTTACTTTGACCTTGTTAAAGCAAAAAAGTTAGCCCTTGACCATCTTTGCTAATATTTGCAAATTAATAATATAATACCTTAAGTCTCACAGCAACCCCAAATAATGTACAGGGGACAAAGACAAAAAAAAAAAAAAAAAAAAAATCCCAGCAGAGTTTGTGTTTATGTTACTTCAACTGAACAATATTTAAATTCCTTTAAAAATGTCTGGTTTGTTCCACTGTTTGGTTTAAAAAGGAAAAGAATATTACATGCAAGTTTGAAAGATTAATTATGACAATTTCTGTTGCTGGCAAAAGTACACTACAATCGCAGTTGTGCCACAACTCTAGGATAGGCAGTGCTGTGGGCTGTCAAATAGTTATCAATATTACACAGCAGTTTGTTTCCTGAAGTGAAGAATAAGAAATCACAGATAAACTATATGGGAAATCAAACTCCAGCAGTGTTAGGTGCTCGGCGTTCTCAATTCCCAGTCAACAGCTTGTAGGACAATGCTCTCATGCAGGCAAACTGTAATTATCAGTTACAGTGTCGTTTGAGCTAGCATATCTGCTCTTGCAAAACCTGATAGTCACAAAAACTGACAACTTCTAAACTAAGAAGTGACACCTACCACAGATACGAGTTCCTTAGCAGCATGCTGTTCAGAGAGAATAATAAGCCACCTCCTGACACACCTGATTTTCTCTAGTAGCCTTCCACCAAGGAATGATTTAATCTATCCCTGATGAGTTCTTGAGAGCTGACAAGAATAAAAGCTGAGGTGGTATGACTGGAGGACATACTAATTTTTTTAAATCATGAAAAATACATTAACAAGTGTTCTCTGAACATACTTCAAAGTTATGAAACTACACCAAGTTCTAACAAACAGTATAAGCTCCTGGGAAAGGAGAGGGTGGGGAAGGAATGACAGTGACTTTTTTTGATCTTTGTAAATATTAGGACCACCAATAATACATCATCAGGTAGTCCATAATTCTTTTGGTATGGCAGTGGTATTTTTGCTATGTTGCACTTACAAAGAGCAGAAATTCCGGTTAAACATTGTTTAAAAGAGGCTCTTCAATTTGCTGGTTTGGTATACAAACTTCATTCATGTCTGCATGTTTGATTACACTAACCCAAACCTGACACCTTTCAGCAGGGATACTCCAATATTTAAACTGACATCCTTGTCTGCTCCTTCCTCTAATTACTTTGTTGCAAAATGCAATGTGTTTTGTTTAGTAGGAGGAAGTCAAGAATGGAAGTTCTGTAATGTATATTATCCATTTCCATGTTTGCAGTGAAATGAAGATCTATGAGATTAACAGCTGAGTATTATTTGCTCAGACAGCTGCCTTCTATTAAGCAACCACGAACAGAGGGTAAAGAGCCATCTATTCCTTGCAACTACTGCTGAAGTGATTTTTGTGCAGACTCTGAGAAACCTTATTCCAAAAACAGCACCATATCACTGCAAACTGGAGATAATTTCACTAAGACATGTGGATTAAAACATAGGTTATGAATGCCAGGGAATGAAAATCCCTGTGATACAGCAATAGTATTTTAGTTAAAAGCCAAGATTAATATTCATCCTGCTTATTTTCTTGGGTACTAGAAAATAATTACTGTAGAATGGATTTCAACTCTGGCACTTGTTACTTCCTGCTGAATCAGTGTTGAATAAAGAGTCCATAAAAGAAAAAGAAATACATGTTGACAAACTGGAGGTTTTATCACAGAAACAGAATTTTGTATGAGATATGATTGTAAACCAGGGAGATTCTGGGAAGTGTGGTGGGAGAGGTGCAAACTAGGGAACTGCTGCTATTTTCTCTCATTGCTCTAATAAATAGTACAAATATCTTAATTAAGCTTCTGAAAAATGTTTCTGTCTTCCTGTTTCTTCCACATATACAATGGAAAACACATCAGGAAAGACAAAGCTCCTTTTTCAAACGAGTTTGCAAGAACTACAGGAAGTCTCACTCTGGCATAAGCTCCAGAATCAACACTGTGACACAATGAAGTCATAACGTCCAGAAGGATATGGGATGGATCAAAGAATTGCATTGTGGATCCACTGTATCTTACTACTGAAAGAATGCAGTGAAAATGCAGGAGTTACTCACTGGTGGGTATAAGCTTAAATGGACAAAGTAAGAATTCACAGCAGAGCAACTTAACTAAACTTTAATTTCTGCACTCAGGAAGAATAAACAGGAAGTTATAAAGGAACAGAAATATCTCCAGCTCTGTTCAAGGCCTAGTTTAGGTCTGTTTTCCTTGGGAGATTTAAATAAAGCTTAAATTACCTGTAAATGTCAGTTCAGCTTCTCCTTAGTGAGATTCTGTGAATGGCACTATCAGCATTGCTTACCATCTTTGAGGATTGTCTCTCGCTCTGTGCCATCAATTTTCTGTCGTCCAATTAGGAAACTGGTAGTATCAGCAAAGTAAATGTAACTGGTTTCAGCATGGAAGTCCAGAGCACGAGGACTGACCAAGTCTTCTATAGGGATCATGTATTCATCAGACACTTTGGTGTTCAGGTCCATTCCCCGTATTATTCCTGGACGTCCCTTCCCATAAAAAAGAAACAATTCATTCTTTGGTCCTGCAAAAGAAAGATTACAAACGTAAACAACTGATGCTGCCTAATCTTTTTGCAGTGCATAATGTCACTGTTTAATTAACCAGCACAATTAGTGGGGGAGCAGGAGTATTATTCAATACCAAAAATTTTAACTTTCATTTATTTTATTTCATTTCTGCTCTGGATTTGGAGAACACCGAGGTTCTTAATGATTTCTGTGACTCAGCCTTCACTGGCAAATGCTCTGATCACACCACCCAAGTCTTGGAAGGCAGACACAGGGACTGTGAGAATGAAGACCTTGTGCCCACTGTAGGAGAGGATCTGGTTCAAGACCATCTTAGGAAGCTGAATATGCATGAGTCCATGGGACCTGATGAAATCCATCCGCGGGTCCTGAAGGAGTTGGCAAATGAAGTTGCTAAGCCGCTGGCCATCATATTTGAGAAATCATGGCAGTCAGGTGAAGTTCCCGACGACTGGATAAAGGGAAATATAGCCCCCATTTTCAAGAAAAGGAAAATGGATGACCGGGGGAATTACAGAGCAGTCAGTTTCACCTCTGTGCCTGGCAAAATCTTGGAGCAGATTCTCCTGGAAGGCATGCTAAGGCACATGAAAATCAACAAGGTACTTGGTGACAGCCAGCATGGCTTCACTAAGGGGAAATCCTGCCTGACCAATTTGGTAGCCTTCTACAATGGGGCTACAGAACTGATGGACAGGGGTAGAGCAGTTGATGTCATCTACCTGGACTTGTGCAGAGTGTCCGACACTGTCCCACACATCTTTGTCTTTAAATTGGAGAGACATCAATTTGATGGATGGACCACTCGGTGGATAAAGAACTGGCTGGATGGCCATATGCAGAGTTGTGGTCAATGGCTCAATGTCCAGCTGGAGACCACTAATGAGTGGTGTCCCTTAGGGATCGGTGTTGGGACTCATCTTGTTTAACATCTTCGTCGCTGACAGGGACAATGGGATTGAGCGCGCCCTCAGCAAGTTTGCCGATGACACCAAGGTGTGTGGTTTGGTTGATACGCTGGAGGGAAGGAATGCCATCCAGAGGGACCTTGACACACTTGTGAGGTGGGCTGGTGCCAACCTCATGAAGTTTAACCATGCCAAGTGCAAGGTCCTACACCTGGGTCAGAGCAATCCCAGGCACAGCTACAGGTTGGGCAGAGAAGAGATTCAGAGCAGCCCTGTGGAGAAGGACGTGGGGGTGCTGGTCGATGAGAAAATGGACATGAGCCAGCTTCAGTGTGCTCTTGCAGCCCAGAAAGCCAACCGTATCCTGGGCTGCATCAAAAGGAGCGTGACCAGCGGGGCGAAGGAGGTGATCCTGCCCCTCTACTTTGCTCTCGTGAGACCTCACGTGGAGTATTGTGTGCAGTTCTGGTGTCCTCAACATAAAAAGGACATGGAAGTGTTGGAACAAGTCCAGAGAAGGGCCACAAGGATGATCAGGGGACTGGAATGCCTCCCCAGCAGCCTTCCAGTATCTGAAGGGGTCCTATATGGATGCTGGGGAGGGACACTTCATTAGAGACTGTAGTGATAGGACAAGGGGTAATGGGTTAAGACTTAAGCAGGGGAAGTTTAGATTGCTTATAAGGAGGAAGTTCTTTACTGCTAGGGTGGTGAGGCACTGGAATGGGTTGCCCAAGGAAGTTGTGAATGCTCCATTCCTGGCAGTTTTCAAGGCCGGGTTGGACAGAGCCTTGGGTGATATGGTTTAGTGTGAGGTGTCCCTGTCCATGGCAGGGGGGTTGGAACTTGATGATCTTAAGGTCCTTTCCAACCCTAGCTATTCTATGATTCTATGATTTATTCTGAAGATATCTAAACTAAAAAAAAATCTATTACCTTAATTAAAATGTAGATTACTTCAGTGAGCTGCTTATATCTAATTATTTTTTTCTGTAAAAGTACAAGAGAAAAACAATTCTAGGTTATAGAATAACTTTGCATCTACGTGAAATGGACATATACAGCTTTGTAGATTTTTAATTTTACAATTCATTAAGATCTATCCAGGTAATATACACAGTGACTGAAGTAATCATTATATCTTAGAAGATCATAAACTCCAGCAAACACAAAATACTGTTGTTTTTTTCACCTAAAGTTTCTCAGAAACAAACAAGACAAAAGATTACAGTAAATGGCTTTCAAATGGGAGAGAATATTACAAATCAATACATGCTGTTCTTTCATGTTCTTTCATACTGAGATACGAAACATGGATACCAATATTTCCTATTTCTCAGGAGATTTTTACTGTTTAGTTACGTAGGTTAATTACGAATAATTGAAGCTTAGTAAATTTTTTTCCTTAGAGGTACTTAGGAATATCCTGAGATGCTTAATACTATCAATATACCTATTAAAAATCTCCAAAAGATATACTCCTTTTTTAATTGTTTGGTTTTTTTTTGTTGGAATTGTTAGTGAAAACCATATGAGGTTTGACTGAGATCAATTATCTATCTACCATCTATCCATCAAAGTTATCTAATTCCATGCCTTTCATCTGAACTAGATCAATGCAATTTGATCAAGAAACCAAACAGAAGTAGGTCCTCCCCATGACTTTCAGGACTGTCCTTTTGGCTGTAGGTGATTGTGTATACTTAACATTAGGTATAACTATAGTTACTCAACTCAAACTTGCTATCACAAAGCCTTATTAGAAAAGCCTTGCTTGACTTGTTCACATGAATGGTCAGCCTCTGAGTTACAAGTTGATTGTATGGGTAAATATTGGATGTGACAAACTATTTATAAGCTTTTCAGTACCTATATGCTGCGAGAATGCATAATACATATAAAGAAAAACTGACTAACATAAAACATATAATTTTTAGAATACTTTAAACAGCATTCCAGGTTTAATTTGTCACTTCTATGAACTAAGCCAAATCAAATAATTTTGAGGGAATGAAGGGATATATAAACAAGGTGTCAGGTACACATTTTACTTAAAAGCAGCCTGTGTGATTTCTACTGTTACTGATAAACATGTTAAATAAAACCCAGAACTATACCCGGGAATATTCGTGGCTGGCAGACTATTTGAGTTAAATAACATACTTTTGCATGACCTGCCATCACTCCCCAAGATGAAGCCAGTCCTGCAGCGACAAGTTCGTGCCTTGTAGTTGCTGCTGAGCAGACAGATGTGTGAACATCCTCCCGGCATTCCATATGGGTCCACTTCGCATGCATGGCTTCTGACTATGGCGAGTGAGAAACAGCACGATTCATATCCATTTAAAGCAAGATAATTATATGCATCAGCATGTAGAAAGTTTAGACAGCAAAAGAAGGGAATTTGTGTCACAATAAATCTTTCCTTAGAATGCAGCTATAAACTTTCTTGCAGCTATATGTTTTTTAAAGATGATACCCAAACCAGACGAGTGATCCAAAGGGCTGTATTGTGGCTCTCAGGCTATACCTGTCATTGTGTGTGATCATCCTTTTTGAATAAGTTTCTGCACAGCATTTATCAGTAAGCACTCCCCTGGGGTAGCTGACACTTTCCCCCTTATTTATATATTGCTTTGGTTCATTTAATTGGTTGGTTGGTGTTTTTTTTTGAGAATAGAATGAATCCCATGCCAATGCAGTTTGCTATTTATTCAACTCCATTACATAGCAACTTTCTGGGGCAGATACCTGGGCAAAAGCTAAAGAACAGAACAAACCTTGTAGTGTTTTTCCATATGTGTACAGCTAGGATGTAAATCCAGCAGAAGAAGCCAAATAATTCCTTTATCTTGATTTCATATTTTCAAATTAAAGGTTCTAAATTGTGAGACTAATATATCAAATCCATTTTTTAAACACTTTAAGGTAAATCAGATGAAAAAAACAAATCTACCTTGCTATGTTATATTTACCAAACTGGCTTACAATAGGCCAACAGTACCAACAGTATTTTAGCTCAAAAAAATGTTTGTATCTTCTTTCTCCTTTACCTCAAGCTTCTTAATTGTTTTTAAAAAAAATATCAAGTGGTTTAAGATCGATATTGTTCAAGGCGTACAGAAGCTCAGCTAAGCTGAGACAGCCTTTACAGCAAATCCTGACAAGCAGCAAACATGCCCGTTCAAAACAAAAGAAGTAGCAGAGTGAACAAAGGGCAAGAGGAACCAAGTAATCACAGGGTGTAATAAAAGATTACATTGTGCTCATGCCTGTCCTCTGCTCAACCTCTCTGACTCCTTCAGGGATGTAAGACAGGGGCCTATAGCAAGGGAAGAGTCTTTGCAGCCTCCTCCAGACACACTGACATCTGCAAATCAATGCCCTCAGCTAGAGAATGAAATTTACTTTGTTCACTCTATGTAAATTTAGAGTTTGTTCCCACTTCAGAAATGGCTCTAACAGCAGTCAGTCTGTTTAATAACAACAGAATTGATGCATTAGATTTTCTGGCTAAGCAGTCATGACAATGATTTATTGTTATCAGCCATACAAAAAAGAATCGCATAAAATATCTCTGTAAATGTTTTGGATCTTGTTATCTTTGCACAAAGTTCCCACAAATCACACTACTGTTGCAAATGTAGAGAGTTTGCATCAGAGCCATGATTAGAGCCATAGGACTATGTACAGGACTATGGACCTCAGAAATTGCTATTTTATCAAAAATGCTGAGATTACAGGAAGTTTTTCATTCTAGAAGAAAATGAAGAATTTTTTTCTACAGAAAGCAAAGATGATATTTAGACAATCCAAGGAAAACTTATCAGCAATTTCCTATTTTACCAGTTGCTGTGCTGGCAGTTAGGCAGGAAAGCTGCCTATGTCTCTGCTTTCTTGGCAGCCCTGAAGACGGGGCCTCACTCGAGGTTTGTAGTCTGTCTGAAAAGCAGGCTCAGAGAAACCAGGAATCTCTGAGGTCTGAGACCCAAGTGTATGGACAGTATTGGACATCTAACAGTTTTGAAGGTGTTAAATTCTGAAAGCGGTGTGTGGAGCCAGAAAACTTGCAGACCAGAGCTCTCTGGCAATTCTCCAAGATGAATGCTCAGGGAGCCAAGCTTAGACATGCAAGAAAACTAGCAGTAAGCACAAAGCAAACTGGGCAGATGAAGAAGCAACAGTTTTGTCACAGTGACAAATTTTCACTGCATCTTCTGATACATTTTTCTGGAAGAACCTTTTTAACACATCCACCTACCACCTGTGTTAATGTTTTCTAAGAATGAATGTTGATCTTACCTGCTGTTTGAGATCTTTTCTGGTACACATGGATCTCTTTAGCATTGTCAAGCCTGGCAAGAGACTGAATATCGGTACCGTTATATCTGTTTATTCGTAAAATGCTGAGGTTATCTGAATCAACTGTATATAAATAGTTTTCAAATACTGCCAAACCACAGAGGTGCCTAATCTGGAAAAGAAAAAAAAAAATAATCATTATTTTAGATGACTGATTTAGGTTTATCTATGATTTGAAAACATTAAACATTACAGTGAATTCAGAAAAGGATTTCTGAATATGTCAACAAATATTTGTAAATAATAAACACAAGCTATGCTGTTAGTTCACATTCTTGTAGTCTGAAGCTTATAATTAGAAAAGCTTTGTACAAGAAAGGCAGAAAATTCAAAATATTTAACAATCCAAATTAATTTATCCTCTAAATTTCCCAGTTTCCCTCTCATTTAAATTCAGATGTTCTGCATATGTTATGTACAGCTTCTTTTAGTCTTAAATACTATTAATTTAACAATTATTATAAAGATTGTTAACTTTTACTAAGTAGCATTAACTAATGAATAAAGTGAATATAGATATTTTAACGTGTTCATGGGATGAATTGATGTATTTTTTATAATGTTATAATCATAGCAAGTAAAATAGGACAATATACACCCACCAGATATTTTCTTAAGTAAATAAATGAATAAATAAACAACTTCCCTTAACTATGCTTGTGTTCCTTTTGTGTCAGTGTCTCTGAATTTGCCTGTGTCCACACAGTACTGCTTGTTTCTCAAAAAGTGAATTCTAAAGTTGTAATAGGCCATGATGTGTCTGGGTACATTAGAAATTACTTAATGTCAGTTAGTTAGCCAGCCAATCACAGCTCAAACATGAGGTGTTCAATAGTCTAGTGCTTGTGCTTGATTTATGGATTTAGGAACTGTAAAATATTTCATTGGCAGTTTTGAAAGATGAACAAATTTGTTGGCAGATGTTCAGATATTCATGGACTGAATATCTGATTAGTTTAATCAATAAATTGCTTACTACAAAGCATTTACTTATCTCATTTATCACAAATTCAGACATGCGTCACCAAAACCAACCAAACAACCAAACAACCCCTCCCCTGTTCTCCATCAAATATTTCAGTCCTTTCTGGAAATTACCCCCCAGTTGGCCAAATCTTGCCATTTTATTCAGCCTTTTCCCAGAAAAATAATAATTAAAAAAAAAAAAAAAAATCAATTGAAGTGTTTGGTTAAGACCCAATAGAAATTCGATTCAATTACAGTAAGATGGAAAACAGCCTTGAAAATAATGATGTATCTGTACATGGTATCATGTACATGATGGTCTGATGTATCTGCAATTCGGTATCTATACCAAATTGTTGCATTAATCCTTTCTGCCCTTTTCCATTTGCACTCAGTTTAAATCTTTATTATTTAACTCCCAAGAGAGCTTTTCTATATTTACACTATGAAAACTACATGTGACTCTTTCTACAATGAATTTTATAATGACTTAATTATTTGTATTTAATTTATGCATTTGTTTGTTTTTATATTTCATGAAGCTTGCCAGCTATCTTATGCATGAACAGAAATGTTGCTTGCTACAAAGAATAGTTGTTTGAAAGCCTATCAAACTAAAAAGCCCGTATTATTTGAAAAGGATGTCCTTTGATATGCTTGTACTTAACGAAATAGACTTTAATCCCTAAGATTTCTTGAGAATAGTTTTCTGGTTTGCTGTTCCCTTAGACTAATGAGAAGTAACTTGGAGTTGCAGTCATTCTAAATCCTGACAAACGCAGACACAGAACCTAGTGAAATTAGCAATTTTTCATCTGAGTGCAAAGACAACCAATATGCTTCTCCTTTTGCAGTAACAATGACTAACTGAGAGGCCAGACCTTTTAACACCGTTCATTCATATTGAAAAAACAGGCGTTGTTCTCATTTCTTAGCTAGAGAAGAACATCATAAATAATAAACTCTTTTGCATCGAAGTTTAAGAAAGAAAGAACAAGCATCTCTCCTATGACACCAATACAACCTAGTTACAAGCCTGTAAAAGCATTTGTTAGTTGCTTCTGAAAATGGCTTTCTTTTTTTAGGTATCTATGAAAAAATGTTACCTGAAGTTGTTTACAAGACCTGTTATTTCAGAACAAGTGGCTAAAGACTGGCAGTAATTTGGCAAAAAGTAGGAAGGTGTTTGCTCTTTAGCCAGGTGACCTAGATTGTTTTTTGTCATATCTTCTGCCTATTTTAAAATGGCAGTTATGCTAATCAGTTGTCTCTTACTAAACAGTGATTACCTGGAAGCGAAGCAAAGAATGACAGCAGAACAGGTAAAGTGTTTATTCTGTCTGCACATTTTTATACGCTCTGTTTAATGTCAAGCAGAAGTAGATGTAAACACGGTACCCACAAAAGATCTGGCAGTTCAAGTAGCAACAAGAAATAGTTTGGTCTTTGCTAATTTTCCCTCTTTTTACATAATCTTCACAACTGCCAAGGAGCCCTTCCTTTCCCTCCATTTTACCTCACTCTCCAAAGCTGAAGCAACAATAACAGCTTGATATTCTCCAGCTCAAAGACTCAGTCTCTGCATTTGTCTTTATGACTCCAGACATCTGGATCAACGGGGAAAAGCATCATTGGCATCAACAAAATATGATTTAAAGGAATCTAGATGAGTTTGAACAGGTGAGTAGCTCTGGCTATTCTGTTTCTTTCACATTCTTGTGCTTGTTAGTCTCTCCTTCCTGAACTGGCAAGGACATGTTCTTGTCATTAATAATTTATCCTCTAGTATCTTTCTATATATATATATATATTTTCCCTCCTGAAGTCTTTTACAATAGGGAGTGTAACTTACATGGTGTATAGTTAATAAGACACTGAATTGAAGCTTGTCCATAGGTTGCAGAATGGGCTAAATGGCAAATAGAACGTGCAGACAGATCTTTTTTCTAACACATTTGAACTAAAAAGAGAAAAAAATCTGAAATCACCGTTAACTGTTAGCATTATATATGTTCATATATTTATGGCATTACTTTAATGGTCAAAGAAATACCTACTTGTCTGCCTTTTATTATCGTATGTCTCTTTCTCCCTTGATAGTCAACAACTTCCACACTATCCAGATATATGTCAACCCAATAAACATATTTATTGATGAGGTCTAGTGCAAGAGCAGTTGGCTGTTCAATTTTAGAGTCTACTATCCATGTCCTGTTCATTCCATCCATGTCACATCTCTCAACCTTGGCAGTATTCCCGTAGTCTGTAAAGAAAAGCTTTCTGTTGAAAGAAAATAAGACATTGTAAGTTTTAAAGGGTGTGAGCAGAGTGCAAAGCTCCTTGTGGCTCTGTACAAAGTAAATTTCTGTTCTTCATCATGTCAGAGGGTTTATCCACCAATAACCCATATAGCCCATATAGATCATCATATATTTACAGAAAAAAATCTGCATATTGTCTAACAAATTCACAGTTACACAGAATTTTCTTTCAAATGACACGTACAGAAGTTCTAAATCCATTTGCTTACACTACAGGTGCGCCATATACTAGTTGCATTTTAAATGGATGGTATTCTTATGCAGAGACTACATTACAATTGTAAATATCTCTTTAACCATTGCCTATAAAACCAGCAAGATAGTTATAAGTACAAAGTTTGGGAAGACCACAAGGGACTTACATGGTCTGGAGAACAATTCATTGTATATAAGGTATAACAAATACAGTGATCCAAACTGTCAGGTTTTGAAAATACATTTCTAAAGATGATGCTTTAGTCTGCGGTGCGTTTGTAACCTGCCTTGGAAGGATGTTCAGGTTTTAATATGTTTCTGCAAATCCAATGAGTCATTCCATCATGAATAATGGGAAACTATCAAAGACTTAAAATTGCTACAAAAGCTTCCTAACCCAATACTTGATTAGCAGTCACTGGGTTTAGTACACACAAATCAATTTTGATTAACCTGACAATATTTTAACAAGATCACTTATTTGCAAGACTAAATTACACTTGAAAGATGACAACCACTTTGTCATGACTTTAACATGCAACAAAGAGTAATCTAATTTGAATGTTACTATCAGAATGAATGTTACTAAAACGACTTTGAGAATCAGGATTTCATTTTCCAGATGAAGTTAGCTATCTGGAAGATATTGCCACTAATGGGAATAACACTGGATCAACAGCTAATAAACCCTGAGTTACCCTTATGTTAAAAAGTAGCAACTTACAGCCTTGTAATCTGTCACAGAAATTCAGCATTACAGGTTGTTTTAGGCTGGAAAGAAGACGTGCTTGCTAAATAGCCAAATGAGACCCATATCTTTTATTATGACCATCTTCTGATAGACAAGATTACATTTTAAAAGTAGTTAAAGTGTTTCATATGCAAAATATGGGAATTTAAAAAAAAAAGCATTAAAAGTATTAAAGGTAGTAGAATTACCTATAGTATATTTACAGCACCTGTCAAATGCCAAAATTAATTGATCACAGAATCATAAAACAGGGCTTGAGGAGAATTTGAAAGGTCATGTAGTCCATCACTAGGCCATAAGGCAGAATAAACATTACCTATAACATTCCTGAGGGGTAACTCCATTCCTGACAGTGTTTTTTATTTATCAGAATAATTTTGAATTCCTATCTCGTTCTTCATTGTAATTCTGTATACCAGCTGTACTTTAAGAACATTTTAGAAAACACATACTTAATATTCAGGTCCATATAAATCAAAATGTGCATACTACAGAATAGGTGCAAAGTAAAAATTATGCCTGCAAAGCATATATTTAACTTGGAACAAAAACTAAGTACTGTGTTGAAATATAACAAGGGAAAGTGTAGAGTCCTGCATCTGGTCAGGAACAACCCCAGGTTCCAGTATAGGCTGGGAAACGACCTGTTAGAGAGCAGTGTAGGGGAGAGGGACCTGGGGGTCCTAGTGGACGACAGGATGACCATGAGCCAACACTGTGCCCTTGTGGCTAAGAAGGCCAATGGCATCCTGGGGTGTATTAGAAGGGCGGTGGTTAGTAGGTAGAGAGAGGTCCTCCTTCCCCTCTACTCTGCCCTGGTGAGACCCCATCTGGAATATTGTGTCCAGTTCTGGGCCCCTCAGTTCAAGAAGGACAGGGACCTGCTGGAGAGAGTCCAGCACAGGGCAACTAAGATGATTAAGGGAGTGGAGCATCTCCCTTATGAGGAAAGACTGAGGGAGCTGGGTCTCTATAGTTTGGAGAAGAGGAGACTGAGGGGTGACCTTATTAGTGTCTATAAATATATAAAGGGGGAGTGTCACGAGGATGGAGCCAGGCTCTACTCAGTGGCAAACAATGATAGGACAAGGGGTAATGGGTACAAAGTGGAACACAAGAGGTTCCACTTAAACTTGAGAAGAAACTTCTTCTCAGTGAGGGTGACGGAACACTGGAACAGGCTGCCCAGGCAGGTTGTGGAGTCTCCTTCCCTGGAGACATTCAAAACCCGCCTGGACACATTCCTGTGTAACATTATCTAGGTGTTCGGCAGGGGGATTGGACTAGATGATCTTTCGAGGTCCCTTCCAATCTCTAACATACTGTGATACTGTGTGATACTGTGTATACAGGTGTATATACACATATACGTATATATATGTAGGTAGTTCATCAGTAATAACAAGGCCAACACTTATTACATTTAAAGTAAGTTGTTAAAACATTACGTGTACTCTAGTCTATACTCTGTCCTGGGGATTTGATTTAGGTTACTTAATGGAACTTTGTGTCTCAAGATTCAATAATTCAAGCAAAGCTCATTTTGCAATCATAGAACCAAATGGGTTGGCTGTGATCAGGCAAATGTGCACACACATGCATGTGTGCATATAAATACCTATACATATGTATAGCAACTACAAAGGCCTGGAGCTTGACTTCAGACTGAGTCTTTACTTGATTGCTTAGTGCACAGCATTCTTATACAAGATTTAACATTTCTATGTGGTATCATAAAACAGGCTAAAATACAAGACAGAGATAAGAATTATTTGCTTTTTACAAGTATATTCTCTTTTCAGATCAGATAAGAAATAAAATATTTGACAATAACAGATAAAGTAAGAGTATCTAATTTAGGATACTTCTCCAGCTTTCAGGGACGGGGCCTCATTTCTGCTTTCTAACTATCTGCTTTATATTAACATCATCTGTGCTAAGGAAGGTAGCGTGATTCCACATGTAGATGACATTATTTTCATTTTAAAAATCATTACTTTTCTGGAGACCAGCAATATTTATCTTTTAATGTAAAGGAAAAAGACTGAGCAAGAAAGTAGTTGCCTAACTGATGCTGTGTGATCAAAGCGTTCTGAAAATTAAATTAAGAAAATGAAATGCTTGACCATGTAATCTTGAAATGCAGTTCTCTATTTAAAGACTAGTGCAGAATTTTTAAAATGTGGAATTGCATTTGTACCTATGAAGCTGACCTGCAATTACACTGCACTTCTTTTGCCTTGGGTGTTCTCAAGGACACACTGTAGCATTATTTATATCAGCTCAAGACTAATTTTTCTGCTCACAAACAGTGCTGGATTTACCTATCCATTTTGAGCAGAGGGTGGTGAAATCTTTTATCAATTCACAGAGCAATTTCAAGCAGGAATACTGACCGCATGCATTTATGTCTTTGTACAGCCCAAGCACTGTACATTAGTACTGACCTTGAGGAACCAGCTCTGACAGGGACAGGGGGAGAGCTGAGTTTGTTACAGCCTTTTTTTCCTGAGACCGCCAATGAGGATGCTAATTGAGATAGCTATGAAACAGTACAGATTTTGGCACTAAATTGAAATGTTAATTTTCAATTAATTGAAAATTGGTAATTTTCTTCCTAGTGGCTGGTGAAGTGCTGTGTTTTGGCTTTAATCTGAGAACAATGCTCATAAGACACCAGTGTTTCAATTGTTGCTAAGTAGCACTTATCCTGATCAAGGACTTTTAAGTCTCTCATGTTCTGCCCCTGAGGAGGGGCATGGGAAGCCGGGAAGAAGCAGAGACAGGACAGCTGATACAAACTAACCAAAGGGGTATTCCATACCACAGCACGTCATGCCCAGTATGTAAACGGGGAGGAGTTACCCAGAGGAGACTGATAGTTGTTTGGGTCAGGCTGAGCATTGATCAGTGGGTGGTGAGCAATTGTACTGTGCATCACTTGGGTTTCTTGGTTTTGATTCCTCTCCGTCTTTTTGTTGTCGCCCTTTTCATCACAAGTATTATTATATTATATTTTTATTTGAATTATTAAACTGTTCTTAACCTACAAGTTTTACCTTTTTGCTGATTCCCTCACATTCTCTGAGGAGGGAGGTGAGCAAGCAGCTGCATGGTACTTAGCTGCTGTATGGGGTTAAAATATGACAGAAAGCTATAACACTTCTTCACACATAGAAATTCTGAATATCCCTAACTCTGTGAAACTGTACAAACCCGATGTTCTGCCCATTGTGAATCAAGAACGAAAAGGGCTATCTTCTTCAACAAGTCTGGGTGCTTTGCAGACATTCTGTACCAGTCTTTTTCAACCTTCTTAAACTCATAAAAGTGCTTAGTTGTTTTGACACAATGTTCTATCCAGATTTTCTTCCAAGAAGTTTTCATTGTTGTTCCAACAGTTAGGAATCTAAATCTAAATCTAATAACCAATGATGATATCTTCAAGGCTAAACTGGTTTCTACTGATTTCTGCAGTCCACTTATGTGGCTGAAACAGTTCCTTTCACCTGTCTTGCCCTCCAAATGTATTTCTAGATAGCAATCAAATCCTTTTACTCTCTACACAGCAGCTAGAGATAACCAGAGAAAGTCAGTCTTTCTCATCTCCTAAGACAGGCTCTTCATGCTGGTCTTCTGTGCAGTTATTCCAATTTCAGGTCATGTAATCAAACAAGCGTGGTCAGCACTGGTGCGCTGTTCCAGAGAGTTCACCAGTATCTGTGCAATGGCACTGTAACTTCCCTGCATCACGTGGCGATTCAGCCATTACTGGGTGAAATTGACTATTTTCACGCCTCTATTACATTGCTGATTTACAGTCATCCTCTCACCAGCTACTACGTATATCCTCCTCCTTCTGCTGATTTCCCAGGGTTTAGCTGATGTTCTCCAGTCCATGAAATACAACTTGTTTCACAATTTAACAACTTAGTCTTAAGAAATTACGGTTGGAATATTTCCAACAAGAGTTTGGTTTCAACTAAGAAAACACAGGGAATATTCCCTCCACA